AAATCTTTCTGTCTCGAGTAGCCAAAATAGAAATGAAATAGAACAATACAAACTGAAAAGATTTTCCTTGGATATTTGTAGCCATCTGTAGCCATATGAAATTGGATATTTGTAGCCATATCAAATATGAAGTTCTTCAAGCTCTGTCAAATAGTTTTTAATTAAATGGGATAATTACCAGGATTGAATGTACAGATCATTGCCAGGTATTCATAATACTGATGTTATTTCACGAATTATAACAGTTATTGCTCGGCACTCTTTTTATGCTGTTTTAATAACTTAACAAAGCTTTTTATAAACAGTAAACTTTGTTAGCGGTAAAAAGTAATCCACTTATACCATCGTAAAATCAGAACAGGCTTTCCTCTAACTGACATGAAATTCAAAAAAAAAAATTTCGCCTTTTTCTATTACTATACAAGTCGTCACATCACAATATTTTAAATCACACCGGAATCAGCGATTGTAATAATATTATAAATTCTATTTTGTCAATGGTGCGAATTAATGTGTGTGGAACAAACATAATACGTAAAAAAATTATTAAAAATTTTTATTTTTAAGGCAGAAAAACCACTTTTTTACTTAAATATAATATTCACATTTTGATTTAATCTTCATTAATAAATAATTTCTAGAGCCTATCAATTTAAAGCAAATTCCAGTCTTTTCCTCTTTTTCTTGATGTTTTTTTGAGACTATCGGGCTATGTGGCGATTCTTTGTACTCTTCTTTAAACTCTTTACATAAAAAGTCAATGGTATTAGTTTCGTTCTTTCCATTTCTAGAGAACTTATTTAAATTTTTGTCCTATTTTTGTAATCTATCCAAATTCTTTTTATTTCGAACTAATTTCCCAAATACTTTCTCCAATCAATTTCATCCAAAATTTGCTGTTCCTTGGCTCCGAGGCTCCAACAATTTTGATTTCACTGATGTTTTTCAAATTATTATTCCCATTAGTGCAGATGCTTCAGATTTTATGATTACCTATTTTATTTTTTAAAAAGTCATTTCACAATTTTCTAATCTAGGTCTAATATTTATTTTACTAATTTTTAAAATAAAAGATTTTTTTTCTTTTCAAAATTCACTTGTTATTTCAGTGCCATTTTGTTTTTATTCAATTCACCAGTTTTGTATTCAAACTGTGAAAACTTTTTGTTGTCCTTTATACAGCACACACCATTTATTCTTTTTTCACTATTTTGATTTGCATTGTCACTTTTCATTCAAGCGTTACTTTTATTACCTGTCAGACATTTATTTTTATTTACTTAATTAGCAATTGATATAGTCAAAATCTGCCCATACTTACATTCTGCTTCAGCTTCCAAAAAGAGGTAACCATTTGGATTTGTTTCAGATGGCGATTTAACAAACAACATTTCTCTAGTTAACATGTTTGAAGTCAGTTTACCCTTGCACGATAAATCAATGCTAGCACTCGTTTCTTTTAGAATAGAGTAAAAACGTTAACATCAAAAATAACAACTATAAATAAAACCGTAACTGTTTCAGTAATAACATCAAGATTCGTTTCTTCCTTATACATCTCAGTTTTTTTCCTCCAAATTTAACGTTTTGAAATATCTGACAGAGCTATGAATAGTCCTGTATTAAAATCAAACCATCATTACTATTTTATCATCACTTTTTTCATGATACTATTTGACTTCACTTGTATTTTTTTTTAATCTCACAATATGTAAAAATACATTATTACGAACGAATAAGAATTTCTTTAGTATTTTGAAACCATCTAGAAAACGGAATTTTTCTTTTTTTGCTCTAGTGGAAGAAAAATTTTCATTTCAAGAGTTTCGGAATTTATTTGTTGAAATTTTACAAGATAATAATAAATACAAATTATTTGAAATTTATAATTTCTATTTGGTTAATAATTAATTTTAACAATTTTAATCATGTGTTATGGTAATTGTATTTCTGGTCTTAATCATCTGTTACGGCTACTTTGGATGCGGTTTTCCTGAGCTATAAGAATGATAAAATTCATTCGAAAAATATGATCCATTAAAAGAAAAATAATAATGATGTGGCATAATATCAGAGGAGAACACATATTTGTTTAGATATATATTTTAAAAACCATACCTGAAGTAAAGTGAAACGAAAACATAACTCAAATTAACATTTAAGAGATAAAATAAAACGATAGCCTTATTTCAAATTTCATAGAATATTTTCCATGCTAATTTGGAATACGTAGTCTGTATAATACAAATTTCGCAAGGATTTTTAAAAATATATATTTAAGATGGATTTTAATCTATTAAGGTATTTATTGTGAAGAATTTAACAGAAAATCTCGGCAAATCATGATTCTTTATTTTTCTAAAAATTAAATAAGTTCACTTTCCAACAATAGCTATTAACGTATTTTTTAATTATATTTTTGTGTATACGACTCTTTCGACAGAGCAAATAGATGCAGTTAAACAATTACAGTCAAAAGAAGCAAATTATATGTGCCTTAAAAGTTTCCATTGTTGCAAGCCAAAATGTAAAAATCATTATTGAGTTCAGTTTGCGTTTGAATTTCGTGTGTGGGGGTTATATTTTGAAGTTCAGAAAAACTTGTTAAAGACTAACAGATGAAATAAACGATGGTCTTGAACGAAGAAAATGTAAAGGTTAGAGAAAAGACTTAAAATTGTAAGCAAAAGTGTTTAATTAAATATTTATTTCATAAAATTTAAAAGAAAAACGAAATAAAGTCAGCTGATGGTTTAATTATATTTAGAAATAAATTATATACTTTCTTTACAATACATATAACTATTTTTAAAATTAAACTACTTATGCGTTTGCTTTGTGTTTTCCGGAATACAATTGAATGCAATAATTATAATTAATATTTGTAAAATAACNTCTATTTGGTTAATAATTAATTTTAACAATTTTAATCATGTGTTATGGTTTATGATGGTTATTATGGTTTTATTATGGTTTCGTCGTTAAAATTGTATTTCTGGTCTTAATCATCTGTTACAGCAACTTTGGATGTGGTTTTCCTGAGCTATAAGAATGATAAAATTCATTCGAAAAATATGATCCATTGAAAGAAAAATGATAATGATGTGGCATAATATCCTGTGTAATGAATGAAATAACTTCACTACAGCTGTAAATTTTATTACTTCTTCACTGTCAGATAAATAAAATATACGCAATATTCCATGAAATGCTATCAATATTCAATTAAGTACTATATATGCTATGCAAATATGTTTGAACGCAGGAGAAAATCGTGACTGGTTAAAAGCATATATTATAAACATTAAACTTGTGGAAATTTTAAATATTTTAAAATCCCTTTAATTTTAGAACTTTCAATCAGAAGTTGCAGTGACTGTATTTATTTCTTTTAATTTAGAAAAAAATTGTCGTGTAGAAGGTAGTTAAAACATTTTAATTTTTCTAATTCTGATAGCAAGCGTCCTCTCTGACCCCGTTTTCCTTTAGTTTGGTCTTGGACATTCCGTTGACTGACTCGTCAAAATTTCTTTTGCTACAGAGGAGAACACATATTTGTTTAGATATAAGTTTTAAAAACCATACCTAAAGTATAGTAAAACGAAAGAATAACTCAAATTAACATTTAAGGGATAAAAAAAAAGGATAGCCTTATTTCAAATTTCATAGAATATTTTCCATGTTAATTTGGAATACGTAGTCTGTATAATACAAATTTCGCAAGGATTTTTAAAAATATATATTTAAGATGGATTTTAATCTATTAAGGTATTTATTGTGAAGAATTTAACAGAAAATCTCTGCAAATCATGATTCTTTATTTTTCTATAAATTAAATAAATTCACTTTCCAACAATGGCTATTAAGGTATATTTTAATTATATTTTTGTGTATACAACTCTTTCAACAGAGCCAATAGATGCAGTTAAACAATTACAGTCAAAAGAAGCAAATTATATGTGCTTTAAAAGTTTCCATTCTTGCAAGCCAAAATGTAAAAATTATTATTGAGTTCAGTTTGCGTTTGAATTTCGTGTGTGGGGGTTATATTTTGAAGTTCAGAAAAACTTGTTAAAGACTAACAGATGAAATAAACGATGGTCTTGACCGAAGAAAATGTAAAGGTTAGAAAAAAGACTTAAAATTGTAAGCAAAAGTGTTTTATTAAATATTTATTTCCTAAAATTTAAAAGAAAAACGAAATAAAGTCAGCTGATGGTTTAATTATATTTAGAAATAAATTATATACATTCTTTACAATACATATAACTATTTTTAAAATTAAACTGCTTATGCGTTTGCTTTGTGTTTTCCGGAATACAATTGAATGCAATAATTATAATTAATATTTGTAAAATAACTATAAACATAACCTAAACAGGCGAAGAAGCAATCATAAAGAAACAAAATATTTTTTTCTCCTTTATGGTTAATTTCCAAGCATTAAAATTCGTCCAAACAAAGGTTAATACGTGTCACTAAAAATTTTCGACAGCTACTTCTGCTTCAGATAATCAAATATTACTTTTGCGATTATCATCCAGCAACTTAAGATTTTTTCCCTCACTTTGATAAAATCTTCATTAAGAGCATAAGGAACTGGCAAAAATTTAACACGAGTTTTCAAATTCTAGTTTAATTTTTTTTTATATAAAATAATAAAAGTAAGTATTATTCATTTAAAATTATTTGCGCCATCGAATATTTTTGAGAAAAAATATATTATATTTAAAAAAAAAAATATTTCTAAATATATAGCATAAGTTTCAAAGCCAAAATAAAACGCAAAAAAAGGAATGAGCCTGAAGCCTAGAACACTTTTAATAACTTTATTATAACAATCAAATTTAAAGGAAGACAGTAAACCCATAATTTGAGTGTCAAAAAAATAAAATTTTATAATTGTTCAACGCGCAAAGTATGTTTTATTCTTTCTTCAAGGCTCAGAAAGGAAATATTTCTCTTATGAAGAAACACTGTCATGGAAGATTTTATCGTTTGGAAGAGATGGAAGAAGAGAGAGGATCCTCCCTAATGGAAAGAAAAATGACAAGCTATCTGATGTTGGAGAGAAATCCCTTTTGAAAGTATGTTCATATTTATTACTCATCTCGCCAAAAGACGAATTGTTTTCATATTAGAAAATGTTTAACGCAAAGTATGTTTTATTCTTTTTTCCAGGTTCAGAAGGGAAATATTTCTCCAATAAAGAAAGACTGTCATGGAAGAGATGGAAGAAGGTAGAGGATCCTCCCTAATGGAACGAAAAATGACAATCATTCTGATGTTGAGATATCCCTTTTGAAAGTATGTTAATACTTTTTACTCATCTCGCCAAAAAACGAATTTTTTTCATATTAGATAATGTTTAACGCAAAGTATGTTTTATTCTTTTTTCCAGGTTCAGAAGGGAAATATTTCTCCAATGAAGAAAGACTGTCATGGAAAGATTATGCCCAATAATCCTGTAATAACTTATCAAACTCTAACATCAAAGCTGCAGATTTATTGACGAATTTGGAGTTGCAGAGTAAGGCAGGATGGGGTTCCATTGTGTACCCTATTTAAAGCCGCTAAAATGAGATAGAAGCTTGAGGCTCATTAAGTAGCCAGATAACAATGGTTTCGTGTGAAGATCCAAACTGTTTGATGCGAAGAGCCAATCTGTTATATGTGAAGAGCCAAACTGTTATTTCCAAGTAACCCTAGGACACTGTAAATCAAGAAAGTATTTACCCTTGCAACATTTTGAAGGTAGTACACTGTAAATATTCTTTTAATGTTAAACATAAATCGAGATAATTATATTTTGTTAGAGTTTTAAATTTTGCGACAGAAAAAGAAGGAGCAAAATACGTTTTTATTTTTTTTCATGTTAAAACTAAATCGAAATAATTATATTTCGTAACAGTTTTAAATTTTGCGACATAAAAAGAAAGAGCAAAATGCGTTTTTATATTTTATAATGTTAAAACTAAATCGAGATAATTATATTTTGTAAGTCTTAAATTTTGCGTCATAAAAAGAAGGAACAAAATACATTTTTATATTTTTTAATTTTGAAACTAAATCGAGATAATCATAGTTTGTAAGAGTTTTAAATTTTGCGACAGAAAAAGAAGGAACAAAATACGTTTTTATTTTTTTTAATGTTAAAACTAAATTGAGATAATTATATTTTGTAAGAGTTTTAAATTTTGCGACATAAAAAGAAAGAGCAAAATACGTTTTTATATTTTTTAATATTAAAACGATTTTTAATGTTAATGAGTTTTAAATTTTGCGACAGTAAAAGACAAGATATCTCCTGGATGAAGTATTGGGAGAAATATGCTTTCTTTGAAAACTTTTTGATGGAATCAACCTGCATTTGCGTTACATGTAGAGGAAAACCACACAAACCTGCCTCGGTTAGCCTGACAGCAAGGGGACTCTATCCCAAGATCCGTCTACTACTGAGGGATATTTTACGTCAGCACTGTGGTCGGCGTGATCCGGCTGCGGAATTCGTATCGACCAGCCACGTCTAGGATTCGAACCCAGTTCTCCTCATTAGATTGCGAACGCTCTATCCCCTGAACCACCACGGCTCAAAAATTTAAAGTAGTAGAGATTTTGAATACGATTCCCACCTTCTTGTTTTTTAACTATGGTGGAATTCAAGTTAACAAGTTGCATTCTGAAAAGTCCCGCAATTCTATGACTTTAGCGGAATGATAGGGAATCTTTCTGGCATCGGGAGAACAGGGGTAAGTTTCTTGGTTTTCCCCTCCATGTAGCCCCGTTTGGGGTTAGCTTCACTCAAAAAGTCTTCCGATACGACAATTTTGTCTCAGTACTACAAAAGGTTTTATTTCGGATGGGTTTCAAATCTTCCTATATTCAAAAGTTAATAAATACTTTATTCGAAACTTCTAGAATTGTTACGCTCAGACCACATAAAATGAAAATGTCCACACTGTCATGCTGATTAATGAAGACAAATACAAAAACAATAACAAGAATTCTACAAATTTATTTTGATTAAAAATTTATAAACAAACACAATATATACAATATTTGGATAGCTTAATCTAAATTAAGTTGAATCATATCTCTTCTTAAGGTTACATGAATGCTTTCTAACAAAATAATTTTTGGTTACCATTCTAACTTAATTCAAAACAACATATTTTGATGTGATTTCAGCTACAGCAAGTTTGCCTTTTATATAGTTTGTTTATTGAAATCAATTTCAACTTACCTGAGGAAAGTCAACGAAAAAGAACATATCGTCACTCAAACAGCGCAGCTGGCTTTCTTTATCAAATTTAATAAAACGTGCTTCGCAACTCAGGATAATACAACTAATATACACATTACAAATGTCTAAGGTATGTTCATATTGCACTTCCTTCTTCGAACTTATGATTCAGTAATTTTTTTTTAAATCGTATTTCAACTTAAATTTTTATGAAATCGATCAACTTGTTACAATGTTTTGCTTCCTGTTCATCTGAAACCCAAATGAAATCGATCAGCATGTTTTGAAACTGTAAATTTCTAGTCAACAAGCTTTATCTCAACTCAATCAACATGTTGTGTGTCCAACATTTTGACTTCCTTTTTTGTAACTTAAACTTCAATGCAATCAATCAATATGTTGCATTATTTTAACTTTCTATGAAGTTCCATCTTAAAATTCTGATGAAGTTTATCAACAAATTGCAAAAATATTTTGATCAACTGAAGCAGATGAATTTCTGTTAAAAATATTTTAATGAAGAAAAACTATGGTGAATGAAACTCAAAGGTGAGATATCTTGAAAAGTTAGTGCTGCCCTATTAAATATTTTTATGATATTTACATTTAAAGTTCGTTAGTAGCCAGCTGTATTGAGCAAAATAGAACACTTTTTTAACACAAAACACTTTCATTTGAGGTCATTGGCCATATGGTGTTTTTTGCGCATTAATTTTCAAATCACAAACTCTCAATCAAACATTTTTCAGTTGAGGTCACTAGTTCTTTTACAACTGGTCAAATGCATGTCTTATATGTGAGGTAATTGATATGTTTGCCGTGGAATAATGCTCATGTTTAACCTAGAAATGGAAAAACACCGCCAGGTGGAGCTGTTATGGCTAGTGGAACCTCACTTGTTGTCGTCGCTGTTATAGTTGTTTCGTACAGGGAAGTACTGGTAACTGTACGAAACTTTGTACTTAGGGCATTGTATATCAAAGTATAGATTCTTGTACTTAAGCTTGTTGCTGTAGTTACTGTGGTGTAAGTTGAGGTAACTGTACTATACTGGGGTGGAGGTGCCAGCACCTGTGGGCCTGTTCCTCCGTTTTGCGATCCACCTAAAATTTGTTGAAGGTGATTCTGCTGCTGAAACAGCTGGGTATTCAAGTACGGCTCAACAGTGGTGGTGAGAGATGTCATTGTCTTTTCTGTTGTTGAAAGAGACTCTGATAGTGTTCTCGTTCTTGTTCGACGCCCATCGTAAAAGCTAACAACCTTGGTGCTGTAGATGGTATCTGTATGGATATAAGTTGATGTTTTGGTGATGGTTGAATATAGGGTGGCGTGTTTATTCAGCTGTTGAAGGCCCAAATACACTGCCGCCAGAGGATTTTGTTGAAGCGCCGCTCCCAAAGACATCAGTGAATTCGACAAGTCATTGTTACTGTTGATGTGGTTATTAATTCTAGTTTGGTCGTAGGGAACGACTGCCTGTTCCCTTCCACTTCCTGAAGCCTGAAGTAAACCGTTAGGTACAGGAGTTTGAATAATCTGCTGTCTAGGTGACGGTTCAAGTTGCACCGCTCCGTCCAGTAGACCACTCAATTGGTCAACGGATTCATCAAATTCAGTATCCGCTGATTGCTCTGTGTGCAACACTGTCATGTCCGCAGCAGGCAGTGTCTTATAACCAGTAATCAACTTCAAAATGAAGAAACTTTCGGTTACTGTGTGATAACTCGTGGTATCATTTTCCATAATGGGTACCACAGATGTTTTCAACATCCGTTCGGTTGTTGTATATGTTCTTGTAACAACCACTTGGGGTAGTCCATCATCATCCAAAGGACTGACTGTGGCAAAAATGGCATTGTTATTGGCGGGAGATATGTCATGTGCATCAAGGAAAGCTCCAACATCTGTGGCATAGTTGTGTCGAGTTTTCGGTACCTGGGTTGTGATGGTTAGAGTGCGAACAGATTTCCTTCTACCTACGTGAAGGGTAACTTCGCTTGTAATTGTAGTCTTTTCATAAACTACCCGAGCAGGGTCAACAGGATTAAGAGGATCGTATTCGTCTAGAAGTTCATCTTCAGAGTCGAATGTATTCTCTTGAGGCGTCACCAAATCACTAACTTCGTCGTTCCTTACAGTCAATTTAACTTTGAAACGATTCAAACGAACCTGGAATTAAATAGTGACAAATCGTTATCATCGAAAAACTTATAGAAATAAAAATAATAAAATTATCATTATTAAAACAAATTTTTTAAGTCATCGAGTTGACGATTACTTAGCTAACATTGATTAACTATGAGTTAAATCAGAGCATAATACAGTTAATTTTTTAATTATGCAATATTTAACGACTGAAATCAACTTCATAAAATCAAAAGCTTAATCAATGATTTGAAACGACCGTCTCATTGATTCAAATCATTAATGTAAGAATTATTGAATCAACCATTCAATAATTCAAATTCAGACATTTTAATAAAGTGTGCACAGAGATTCTTTTACCCCTTCCTTCTTGCTCCCCTCAAAAGGAATTCCCCATCTAAATTTCACCCTCAATTTCTCTGTTAAGTTTCACCCTCTGTTAAGTTTCACCCTCATATTTCCAAGCTGGAGAAAAAAGTAGCGTGAAAAAAAATCATTAAAACAATTGATTTCTCATGATTTGACATATTTCTCAATCTATACACCATACAGTAGTAGCAGACTATTTGTAACGTGATTAGAGAGTCTGTTTCAAACTAGACGTCAACACTCATCAAGCATATAAGCTAAAGATTAACCCAAAAATTAAAATTTTAAAAAATATTGTAATATACACTTAGTTTTATATAATTTTCATGAATAGAGAAATGATCATTTTTATGAGCATTTTCTTTAAAATTATGAGATCAATAAGGCAATAAGGTAATTCATTCTGACCTAAAAGTAAATCAATTTGCTCTTTAGTTGATTTCTACGACAGAACGTTTAAAGTACTCTTTAGTATTTGATTTTACAACTAAATATACGGTGTGTTCACAAATTAAAGAACATATTTAAAATCAACCCTTTAGTTTATTAAGATTGCTTCTTAGTATTTAAAAATCCGTTTGTAAAATCAAAAATTGTTAAGGGGTCTCCGCTTTTAGAATTACATAATGTACATTGCACAAAATAAAAAAGATACACCATAACTTTTAATTTGATAATGGGATTTTCACCTTATGGTGATGCAATCTTAATGGTTCGAGATATCAATTGTAATAGTTCGAGAGGTCAATCTTAAATATTCTAGGCAACAAGAGTACATGATAGTTTGTGCTATGAAATCAAATTTTTAAAAAATTAATTTATCTGAACAAATACACCTTTTTATTGATGGATTTGGATTTTTGTTCGTCGAAATATGGAGAGGAGGAAAACTGCAATCTGGAAAATTTGGTCTGAACAATTTAGGCAAGAGAGTGATTGAAAATTTGGGACCGTTAATGTTAATTTCACTTTTTGCGTATTTCACCATATTGATGTATTCATTGAAGCGAATTAAAAAGAACTTTGCACACTTGTAAAACTGGTATATCCAGAGATAATTTCCAGAAAAATATAGTATCTAAAAATTATTCATTATTTTTTATTAGAATAACAGCAGAAAAATTATAGAATTGTCATGTGCACATCATTTTATATTTGATTTTAAAATACATTGTTTCAAATGAAAACTAGCTTGACTTAAACAAAATCAACCTAATAGATTCAGGACTATAAAACTTTAAAAACAGTCGTATTTAAAATGTGACAAGAATTATTCAACTTATTCTGTTCAAATTTAGAGTTTTTTCAATTAAAATTATTAAGCTTAAAATTGCGTAAATATTTGTGCAACTTACAATTCAAAATAGTTTAGACCATAATTTAAATAAATAACAAAAAATATATTTTGCTATGAATAGTTTTCTGATAAACAAGTTTTACTATTGCACTCAAAAACTTATAGATTATTTTAATTAATTTCAGAATACAAAAAATAATTGAAATTATCTTTAAGAGATCCAAACTTTTGACCGCTTTTCTGCCTAAACTAGAGAGACAATTTTCCAGAATGTGGCTCTCCCCTTCTCTGAGGGTGAAAAATCGAAATTCCGCCGGGAAATAAAGTATGCTGTTTCGAAGAAGAAAAAAAAAATTGTCAATTTTCGTTACTTTAATTATTGTCCAGGCAAAAATTACAACATAAGGGTGGATTCCAAATTTGAGGCATCTTTGATCAAGGACTATTTTTTATTCTGGAATTTAATAACTTGTTGGCTTAGATTTTTTTCTTCAAAAATGCATATAATTTTATTTATATTATGAGAATTGGTATAACTTTTCATTTTATGTAAATTTTTAACGCAAAGTAAATGTAGAAATATGCCGTCAAAAACGAAAAAGTCAAATTACATTTTTTTAATATTTTACAAATTTTCAATTAATAAAATAACTTTTAAAATAACTTTAGTAAATAAGCATTTACGGTAGATTTGAAAATCTGTTAAGAGCTAAATTGCTCGACCAAAAAATCTTTCAGATTTAATCGAAATAATGATTATTTAGTTGCGTACAATATATTATTCTTGAAAAGTCATACATGTGCTACTTTTTTTTCCTAGAAAAAGTCAAATCATCCGGTTTTATCCTTATAGTGAGGTAAGACCGGATACACATGTTTATTCTATGGAAAATTTTGAAATATTTGAATTTCAGTAAAAAAGTAGCAGCTATTTCTATTTTATATGGAAGAAAATTATACACCTAATTAGCATGCGATATAGTCGAGGCCGTTCTCAAGGAGTGGAAAAAGAGCAGGGCTAAAGAGAATAGAAGGGCTGGTTCACTCCTTTGTGAAAACTCTCGCCGCGCCAATCCTACGATTTTCTCTAGTGACGTCACTTTGGCGCAAAGTTCGCACTTTTACTTCAAGAACGGAACATTCAGCCTTAATAGCTCTTACTAATATTGAAACATTTCTTTTTGTGACATATTCTAAGACATTTGTTTTTTTCTATAATGACTTTCCTCAGTTTTTGCAGTGAATTTACAAACATTTAAAACTATTATAGAAATGCCAGTTTGCTCGATTGCAACTTGAAAAATTTCTGATAGAAAAACGAAAGGAAGAAATTTAATTTTCCCCGTGTTCCCTAAAGTAAATGAACAACTATGTAAAGAATGGATTCCGAAATGACACAGTTTAATATAAAACAGCAATACGTTTATTCTATCGTTTAGAACTTTTATAAAAATTCACTATCTAAATAGAAACCGCCTCGTTACTTCAAAAAGAAAGGCAGGTGAAAAAAATTAAAAAATGGATAAAGTCAAAGAAAATTAAAATGTAAATAAAAAGTATTAATAAAATATATAGTATATAGTTGAAATTCTCCTAATTTTATAACATATTTTTAATGTAGTTATTCTAAATGCTTATGATTTTTTTTGAAAATTATATTCTCTTAAATTTAAATATCTATAAATTATATCATAGTAAATTTAAATATCTATAAATTATATCATAGTAAATTTAAATATCTATAAATTATATCATAGTAAATTTAAATATCTATAAATTATATCATAGTAAATTTAAATATCTATAAATTATATCATAGTAAATTTAAATATCTATAAATTATATCATAGTAAATTTAAATATCTATAAATTATATCATAGTAAATTTAAATATCTATAAATTATATCATAGTAAATTTAAATATCTATAAATTATATCATAGTAAATTTAAATATCTATAAATTATATCATAGTAAATTTAAATATCTATAAATTATATCATAGTAAATTTAAATATCTATAAATTATATCATAGTAAATTTAAATATCTATAAATTATATCATAGTAAATTTAAATATCTATAAATTATATCATAGTAAATTTAAATATCTATAAATTATATCATAGTAAATTTAAATATCTATAAATTATATCATAGTAAATTTAAATATCTATAAATTATATCATAGTAAATTTAAATATCTATAAATTATATCATAGTAAATTTAAATATCTATAAGCAACTGTAAAATTTCTAATGTCATTATGAGCCTAAATTATTATTTTGTTTGAGTAATTAGCGTTTAAGGTTGATGTTGTTTCCTAATGATTAAGTATGAACAAATTAATAGCATATTTTAAAATCAGGGATTCTAAATTTAACTCAACTTATTGTTATAAAAGAATATGTAGATAAAAAAGTGTCGATATATGCTTTCATTTTTCTTAATAATTAAAGTTAAAACTGAACTTCTTAAAATAAAGTATTTATAGTGTCATTTTCGCCAACTAGTAAAATATTTTTATAAGTTTAAAATGGTATTTTTTTTTAATATAATGGCCAAGAAGGTATTTTTGAACCATGTTTATGAACGGAAATAATGTGTTAATTACGTAAAGTTTGAAAGCTAATTACCAGAAAAAGTCTAACTTATTTTTACGAAGAGAAAGATGCAAAGTTATCATAATATCTTTCCGATCTCCGAGATCTGTGGACACAGTGACGTCATGAGGAGGGTAATCGTAGCTTCAGCTCGACGAGCGGAGTGAACTAGGCCTTCTATTCTCTTTAGCCCTGGGAGAGAGGAACAATTGCGCTGGGGCTTGGGACTGCTGAGGGCCCAAGACAAATTCTTGACAGAAAATATCGTGTCTATTAAATTGTTTTGTTCTTAAGAAGTTTACAAAAAAAATTTTTACAGTCATTTAAAAACTACAATTTTGTATAAAGGGTCAATCATATACGACATTAAGGGTCTTTAAAAATGCTACCAAAGATAATCCTACTTAAAATTACTCAATAGAATGCACTACACTTTTTAGCTTTTATAATTCTGTGTGAGGGGGATTTCATTTTGATAAACAGTCTTGAGACTTTCGAGAATTTTTGATTTTCAAAAAATGTTTTTTTTTAATGTTTTCTCTTCTGTACGGATTTCTTTAAAGTTAATATAGTGTAGCTTTATTAATTAACTGCTTCTCATGAATAAAGTAAATATGTGAACCATGCTTGAGTCATGTTATCTTAATAAAAAGTTTGCATGCGGTAGTGAGAGAAAATTAGCAATGTAAAATTGTGTGGGCTATTGCGTGTTAAAAGTAATAGACCTGGCAAAGTTAATATAGTGTAGCTTTATTAATTAACTGTTTCTCATGAATGAAGTAAATATGTGAACCACGTCTGAGTTATGTTACCTTAATAAAAAGTTTGCATGTGGTAGTAAAATAAATCAATAATGCAAAATAGTGTGGTCTGTTACGTGTTAAAAGTAAAAGAAATGGCAAAGTCGATTTAATTTAGCTTTGTCAATTAACTGCTTCTTATGAATTTAGTAAATATTTGAACCTTTTTATTTGAATAAAAAGTTTGCATGTGATAGTAGAAGAAAATCAGTAATGTAAAATTGTGTGGTCTATTACGTGTTAAAAGTAATAGACCTGGCAAAGTTAGTAGAGTGTAGCTTCATTAATTAACTTTTTCTCATGAGTAAGTAAATACGTGAACTATATTTGGGTCATGATATCTTAATAAAAAGCTTGAATGTAATAGAAAAAGAAAATCGATAATATAAAATTATGTGGTCTATTGCGTGTTAAAAGTAATAGACCTTTCATGACTTTAAATAGCAATATAACTTGAGAAACGTATACAATAAATGATTTCATAAAATTTAACATATATTATATACTAGAAGGAAACAATTATAATATTAAAATATAGCATATATTATATTATATTTGCGCTTTGTATGATTTGTTATCTTTAGTTAAGTCTGAAGAAATAGTTCAGAAATATTAAAATTCTTAATATTTTGGCTTACTTATAGACTACGCGTATCACTTCTTAAATATGAAAATTCTTACACATAATATGTGCTCTCGCATAAAATTTCATGGCAAATACTTAATGTTATGTCTGTTAATCAAAATCAGGTCCATTACCAAGTAAAAAATATTTATAATATTCACAAAAAATTTATTTTTGGGCTCCTAAAGTAAAACTAGTTTATTCTTAAGATTTTTAAGGCCCCCGTCTCTTTGGCAATATAAATTAACCTCTTCCAAATCAACAGCTACTTGAAACATATGTTAATATAAAAAGAAAATTAACTAATTAAGTAGAAAAAATATATTATTGTATTTTGCATTTAGAAGTTAATCCTCTAACTTTCTTTGTAGCAAATTTAAGCTAAATTTACAGCGCGAGTTGCAATGATTTCTGAAAATTAAAATGTATGTTTAAACTATGGTATGTCAGACGACTGACTTAGTTCCTACTTTATAGCCGAATTTTTACGTAATTTATGTTTTTACATTTCACAATAGATAATAAGCTTTCAGTGACAGAATTGTGGATTGCATTAATTTCTTTTTTAATTACTTTCAATCGTCTTGCATTTAAAAATTTCCTACAAGTGTTTTTATGAATTGTTGTGTTAAACAATTAGCATTACAGTACAAATTGCATATCACGAGTAAATCACAATTTCGAAGAATTTTTATGATTCTTCAAGCTACAGGATTACAATTGTGTGCAAAATATTTGTTTTTAGTTAATAACGATTAAAAAATATTTTTTTTATTATTCTATATACTAAACGACTACATTTACAGGGTATCTATTATATATAATTCTCTTACGTGGCTCCCAAATTTTGGCTGTATTTCTTTTCCGCCGGTGGCAACGTTTGCTTTGTTTTGAAAACACCAAAGCATTCTGCCTTTTAATGATGTGTTTCTGATCTAATATATATAATTCTCTTACGTGGCTCCCAAATTTTGGCTGAAGTACTTTGTACAACTAAATAAGATTCTTTTCACAACAGTTAAATATTTACTTTATTTTCTTCATTCATAGAGAAAACAGTCGGCAAAGAATTCTGTTAGGTTAAAAAACATTTCGCTAAAAAAATAACGAATTCTAAAAGAAATAAAAATAAACAACTTAAAAAATAAAAATGCTGTTGCCAGCCATAGAATTTTTTGAAAGTTAACTTAGCAACATAAATCAAAATGACATAGAAGCGCAACTAGATCAAAATTATGATACCTGAGCGCTTGACGTAACAAATCCTTCAATTCTAAAAGTGTTGTATCGCCAAATGCCCAAATTAACAATTGTGTTCTTAAAGAAATTCTATAAAAAGTTTTAAATAAACAACCTACTTCTACAACTGCTTCTTGAAGAACTTGGCTCATTGATTAAAAATATTGTTTTAATTTTACAGTACTAACTTTACTTCTACTTTCATTATTGCTATGACCCTCTTTCATTACATTTTACAACTTCATGCTAAATTTGAGGACTTTAAGTTGTTTTGTGGTTGAATACTGACATTTAGAAATGTGTACATAAAAAAAATAATATTTAGAGGTTAAGAGTTGCCTCAGAAAAATTTGAATTGTTGACATTGAACTTAACAATGGAAACAATCGTTTTTGTGAAAAATTGAATTGTATTGTTGACATCAAAACTAAAAATATTGTGTTTCAACTTAACAATACTACCTTAATTTATACTTTAGAATTGCCTCGGAGAAATTTGAATTGTTAGCAATGACTTAAACAAAAAGTTTTATTTTAACTGACAAATACTATATTATAATTTTAACTTTTTCTATGACTATACTCATTTTCTTACTCTTTTCTTTGTTTTTTATACATTTTATATTTTTGTGATAAAATAAAAAACTTATAGTTGTTCTGCTTCTGAACACTGATGAAAACACAAAATGATGGGCTTCAGCAACAATCAAAACTATATACATTTATTTTAAAAATTCCATATTATTAAGGTGGCGCCATTCAGAGAATTAAAAATACAAAATTATCTTCATCAAAGCCGATGCTTTACATCCGGCGTTCAGTGGCAGACTACTATTTCATATTGTTTTACAACACATGGCTTTAGCCATCTGGTGTGAAAGACTTTAAAACAAAACTTACAACATTTACTTTTCTCAACAACTGAATTTTAGAATAGTGTGATTAGGAAAAATATGTGAACTGTTTGCAATTTCAAATTAATATTGAAATGTACAGGTTTAGAATTTTCTACAGTGAAAAGTTTTCGGAACTTCAGTATTCAAAAAAGTATGCAAAAACTAGACGTTAAGAACGTATCCAATGAGCGAGCAAAGCGAGCATTGGATTGCGAAGCAATCCGAAATGAAATGCGAAAGCAGTTCCGGGGGTCGGTGAGCGCCAGCGAGCAGGGGGCGAAGCCTCCTAGTAATAAATAAAAGTGACGAAAAACCGTTTATGCTTTTCTTTTAAAAAAAAGCAGTTTTTGAATTGAATTGGTCTGACATTTTCCTTTTTTTTGTTTCAGTTCAAAAAGTTTGAACAGACGGCACAGTAAGTAGTAAACTTTTAAATCAAGGAAATCTTGAATTTTGAAATCTTCCAACGGAAGGAAAATACATAGAGGTTTTTTCAAAACAATCGCTTTCAATAAATACCGATGCCGCAATTCCAAAACAAAATTTTTATGCTGGAAAACGCAGCAGAAAAATCTATAGCTAGCTTATAGCGTATATCGGTAGAAAGATCTTGTGAAACAGGGATCTCTGAGAAAAAAGGTTTATGCTTTGTTATGTAAATTTTCCAAGTTTCTTTTTTTTAATATTAACTGTTTTGCAGTTAACGATTTTATAAAACAATCAGTTTAATTTAGGACTACTTATATTTACAAAAAAAAAATTTCTGCCATATTTTATAAAAAAAAATTTCCTTAGAGAACAATATAAGCCAATGATTGATAAAGAAGCAATATGCTTTGTAATTTTAGATATTTAAAAATATATTCCAAAAAGAAGCGTTTTAAGTATACCTGATGTCAAAATACACAAGAAACATTTTTTAAAAACTTTTACCATAATTGCTAGAAATTAGCAAACCTAATCTAAAAGACAATCCTAATCTTAATTACAATTGATTAAAAATTTTAGTCTGATACCTTTCCGACGACTTTAAGACTAAGATGCATTTTGTGTACATTTATACGTATGGTCGAACAAAATTTTCCAATTAACTATGCTTGATTTCAAATCACTTGCCCTTTATTATTACGACACAAATTAAAATTATTCCAGGAATTATCCGGTTTAACCCAAGACGGACTACAGTCAACTCGACAGACCAGTAGTGATCATTTTGTTTAACTTTTTCAGATTGCATAAACAAAATATAAAGATTGCAGATAAAAATGACACGGGAGGCAAGGTCACGAAAACTCATCACAATATTTTTGTCACACAAAGTCGTGACACTTCCTCCAGGATTAATAGCTTGATAATAATATTAATAATAGTAGACAAATACGTAAACGACTAATAGCAATATTAAACAATAATTAGCAGAAATAAGAACAGAAAAATTTTAAAAATAAATAACAATAAAATAATAAATGACAATAAAGTAGCAAATAACACTAAAATAATAAATGACAAAAAAGTAACAAATAACACTAAAATAATAAATAACATTAAAATAATAAATAGTAATAAAATATAATAATAAATACTGTGGGAGTGTTTCTTCTGGGGAGGACGTATCTAAATCTCGGTTGCTGTCTGTTCCTGGGATTCTGTGAATCGTGAACTGTGTTCTCTTCTTCCGGTGGAATGTCCGTAGCGAGTGTTGGCCTAAATCGTCTTGATAGTCTGTAAGATGTTCTGGACAAGGACTTGTCCAATGATTGAGTTGGTCTGATAGTCAGTCTGTTTGGCGATCCACCGTCGGGAAGTTTGAAAGATGATTGTAGAACTGTGTTTGCATTGACAGGTTCGTCTGTTCTTCTATCGACCTCCCTGCTGAAACAGAGAATTTACATTGAGATTAACTGAAACATTGGAGATATATTGGTATTAGCTGAAACAATGGAAATATAGTGAGACACTGAAACAAAGAATATGTATTGGGATTAGTTTAAACAAAGATTTCTTGGAATTAACTAAGACAAAAAGATGAATTTGAAACAAAGAAGAGATATTTGGATTAACAGAAACGAATATATTAGAATTAACTGGAAAACAAAGAAAATGTTTTAGAATTAACTACAACAAAGAAAATGTATTAGAATTAACTAAAACAAAAAAGATAATTTGGGATTTACTGAAACAAAGAAGTTATACTGAAATGCAATAGCAATTGAAGCATTAGTTTTCTAAATCAGTTCATTTCATTTTTAGCATATTAATTCATTTTTAGCCTATTTTTAAAAATGAAGAAAAATAGAATTTCCGGCCATTAACCCCTTCAGGACTGTGATCAAGTGTTGACTTGGTTCCCCTTATAGCCCTCGCCATCATATACGAGACTAGTACTCCTGACTCCAGGAGTTAATGACCACATGAACCGGAATTCAATTTGAAATGTTTGATTTCAATTTTTAAATGATGTTAAATAGCGGCCGAAGCCCGTTATAATTTCGAATAATGGCTCACAGACGTTTAACCATCAATCTCCACTTTCGGTTCAAATTATTATTTTTGTTTCAAATTTTATTCCGGGTATTTAAACAAGTAAACAACTACACGCGTTTGGCTTTTTTATAGTATTAGTGAATAAGGCACGAGAATTACTGCGTTCTGAGTTTTTGTTTATATTCTAATTGCGTAGGGAAAGGATGGAATGCTTATTAGGTGTAGATTTGCAGGTTGGGGTCTGCTAGATCGTGTTTAGTCAGTTTTGAGATCAGATATGCAGTTGTTAAGTATCACGAGCATTTTATTACAGTATATTCAGGTACTATCAGTGATAATTAACTGTAAATTTTAGCGTATTTAATTGCAATGATGATTTTACATGAATTTTTTTTTAATAAAATTAGGTTTCATGTTCTTTAAATACACTGTAAAAAATTACGAATCAAATTTCGGTAAAAAGTACTAACACTCAAAGTGCCGGTACTTTTTAACGTAAAATCTATTTTTACTGGAACATATCAGAGCACAAAAAGTCTGACATACCGTAAATTACGGTGTAATATTTTACGCTAAAATGAGTTTCACTAATGATGCACCCAAAGAGCCGGTACTTGATGCTGTAATTTGATCTGGAATTTTTAACAGTGTACATTGTCAGTTTCAAGTTATTTAGCGATGAAACCCTTCTATTCCTTTCTGATTCTAAATTTTTTACTAAAATTTTAGTTTTTTTTCCTCAAATTGGAACACATAATAATACACTCGACAAGACGCTTTTAATGCTGGTACAGTTACACCAATCGCGTTGTAGAATTTCCTTCTTAATGGACACAAAAACTTTGGTTCCTTTAACATTCTAAGTCATTATTTCACAACTATGTACTTTTCTCTAAACCACAAATGCATTAAGTGGAGTCGGTAGGGCATATACCAATAATGCTAACTGATATTTTTAATGTACCTTTTCTCAGCATCTAAAACAAGATAATGCTTCAGGGTTATTTTCACAGAATATTTGTATACACATGTTTACACTGGGATAATTGTTAATACATATCTTCAGCAGTATTTTTTTTATAAAAATTATGAACTGAGAACTTTGAAATTTTTGTAAAAAGTTTCTTCAAAAATCTTTCATGACTCAAAAAAGTATTCCCAAAATATTATCACAGCTTAAAACTGATATAATCTCAAGTCTCAAATATTCCAAAAAAATTTTAAAGCGAAAAGAAGTTTCTTAGAAAAAGTGCAAAAGGTCAGCGAAATTTATAAATTAAACCAGGATACATAAGAGGAAATAATTACTTGAAAAACTAACAATGTTTTAGTATCTAAGACTTATGTTGCTAATTTCTAAGGTACAGACTGTGGCAAAAAACACCATGCAAACAATTTTTAATATAATTTTATTTAAAATAAATAAATTAACAAATAATAATTACAGTAGACTTAACTAAAAAATTCAGTTAGATGCAAATATTTTTTTTTTAAATTTCAAATTATGAGAATTAAAATAAAATATAAAAGAGGCAGAAGTTTTGAAATAATGCAGTGTTCCTCAAAAATATCAAATTTCATTTTCAAATATCAAATTTTCATTGCAAATTAATTATTACTAGCAAATCAAACACATTTTTTTATGTGATTAGATCTTGATAATTAAATAATATATTTGAAACAAATTATCTACATCAGTTTTTTCGGAGATATTAGTGATTTAAAATGTATAAGCAAAAATAATTGCAAAAAATCGCAGAAATTTCAGCAAATGTGCAATAACGAAAGTAGTTTGAAGAATCTTTTAAGATACTTTATCCAATCAAGCGCGTTTGACCAATACCTCCTAGAAAAGCGAAGCAGTACGGGTTACCATAAACAAGAAATTTGACCCTTTAGTAGTCCGAGCTTAATGCATCTTTCGTAATTAACAACACTGTGCAGCTTAGTAGCCCGAACGTAGTGACATCTTTCTTATTTTTCATCCACTGCACAGTTTGTGTTCGCTACGTCGGTCTACTAAATTGATACGTGCTGAGGTCTTCCTTCTTCTAGGAGGTGTTATTTAGACGTGCAAATACGTCGGATCAAATCACTGTAACGGTGCGTGGGACTTCGTGTAAAATAAAAATTACCATTGACTACTAAAACTCTAAATTTCAACAGATTATAACAAGGATATTATTTGGTGGTATGTTTCATTTAAATTACCAATTCAGCTGCTAAGTATTTTATATTATGAGATGAGGGGGATTCGCTGCTAGAAACTAATCATTTGCATACACCGTGACTTAGACGATGAGCATTGATTTGCGTAAATAATTGCGTAAACAATAAACAGGCTCAATATTGACTCTTTGCTTTACGAGGCAGAGTCATAGAGTCACGTAAAGACGCGGTTCCCAGTTGAAAACCGAAGTCGATCAGCATCAGTTGAGGATAGGTGACCACTATGATCAGCCTGCGTAGAGACCGAGGATGCGTGACATCGGTCCTCGTTAAACTCTTCTACTGCAAAGTGTGGAGGTCGTCAAGCTCCCGAAGCGAAGGAGCATCTCCTCTGCAGAGGATCAGATTTGTGATGGCATGTCTTCGGATCATCCTCCAGGGATAGTTCCCAAACCATCAACAATAACTTATTGTGTAGTCTTTGTGTGACGTAAATAAACTACTACTATTGAAGAGTCCTAGACATCCTTGAATTGGATGCAAGAATCCGAAGACTGAAAAAGAAGAAAAACTGGTAGCAAAACTATTTCATTTATAACTGATTTTAATAAATCTATTTAATTTATTTTCTATTACACTTAAGAGTAATAGAAAATAAATTTCTAACGATTCCTCATTAGAGTTCCAATCTACCAAAAAAATTGTTGTCTTAAAAAGTTACCATGTAAAAGGCTAGTTTATACGTAACTTTTGAAATTTATTACTCAAAGCAACAGAAATTTTATTCCATTAAATGTAATCTTTTTGCTTTATCCTTATAAAATGCGAGCATTACATTTTCCAGTAAAGGAGAAATGTCTTCAATTTTTACAGCCAGCAGTGCTTTTCCTCTGAGAAATAAATCGAAGTTGTTTGGGAATTCAAATTAAATATGGTAGTTTGTGACAATTTATAACTTAATAATTGCTCTAAAGTAGACAAAATATAGCCTACGTCTAAAGTATTACATATAACCTAAAAAATAACTGCTGAAACATCAATCAGATTGGCTAGTGACATTTTGGTTACCTACACTGTATAAACTGTGGTGATATCCATCCAAATTTAGTGCTGAAAAATTTTAAACATTGTGTGTTATTTTAGGTTAATGCCGAATCGCGCGTTCACTCATACTCTAGAGCGAGTAAATAAATCTCAATACCAATAACTGATATTGCTTACACCAAGCTCAGATGCATTTACTCCATTCATAAATTATTTTCGTCAATGTTGGCATAAACAGGCGCAATGTTGCAGTGAAAACAGTTTGACGATCGATATTTTTTGTTTGCAATCCTGCAAAGAAGACGAGAGATCCCACAGTGGACTGATCGTACATGGTTCCCAGTAGATCAATGAAATCAAGCATTACTGGCAGCAGAAATCCTCCACTCTGCAGAGGATCGAAATTGTGATGGCATGTCTTCAGATCATACTCAGGAATGCTTTCCAGACCGTCACCTATTATCCATAGTGCTTCTCTAGTGTGACGTACATAAAGTATACTACTAAAATGTGAAAGTATGTTTTCTTCGCCTGTCACGATACTGAATATTTCACAAAAACAAGTAAGTACACTGTTATAAAAAGGCATGTATGTTTTTAGTTGCATCATTAGGATAATTATGCTCTCATAAGATGATTTACATGAATCTGCCGATTGTATTAAATACTTTTATAATATTAACCATTGGCAAAATGGGTTTCGGTTTGGATTTCATGGCGTCCTCACTTTTCAACTGCAATAATCAAGAATAATAGTAAACAGTGCCCATGCGTAGGTATGGCGACCGCTGCTGTTTGATAAGTTTCTTAGAATTTTTTTTTTACTTTTAATTTTGTTATGCATTAAGTTGGTGAGTTTATTTTTGAGATATGGGACCAGAGAGTTCCCATAAAATAAACGAGAAAGTTGTGAATAAAAGAGAATTTCATCACTCGAACGATATTTTTATTTTTATTAAGAATCAGAAATTCTAACCTACATTTCAAACTGGATCGGTTTCAATACTAATTCAGGTGAATATCACGCGTAAAGAGGGTCCAAACTCATTCACACGGTCGCAAAAGTTACAGTAGAAGCCAAAAAAAAAACGATGCCTAGGCCTAAACTTACTTAAGGCTGAAAAAGTCAAAGACAAAGAGCGTAGACGGGAATACCTTAAACGTTACAAACAAATGGAAGCTAACGCAAGCATGAAGCCCGTCCCTCTCAAAAGTACCAAAGTGGTCGAGAGAATTGAACCCTACCGAAAAGCGAATGGTGACTCTCCGAACCCCTTTCATGCAAATACGAGAACTGGGTTTTGATCACCAGTTAGGGATAAAAGGATCCATTGTCAACGTGCCCAATAACTTGCACAAAACCGTAGACTGTCTTTCATGCAATATTAATGATTCATTAACTATTCGTGTAAAATTGAAAAAAAAACCAAGCTTTCAAATCATATTTGAACAACTTGTATGAACTTGTAAATCCGAAAAGGGTGAATGATGCAGCTTACAATCTCCATCAAACACCATTGTACCAATCCAAAAATGTTAATATTGATCTCGAATGACTGTTCAATGTCTATTCAGTCATTAAAAGAATTTACACAGAATGTGTGTGAATTGCATTTAAATACGTCTACGAAATTGTGTACCGAGCAGTTCAGGATTAACAGTTAAAGATGCCCAAGATGAAAACATAATTAAGTTGCTTTTACAAAAAAAAATAGACAACAACCTTTTTACCAATGGGTAACTTGAGATCGCCTTGCGGTGATCACAATTTTCTTCATTTTGTAGTGAATCGTATTTTATTTATTTTCCTCAGTTTCGTCAAACCTTATTTTGTCAACGCCAAAAACGGTTGCCACTACTTAACACTAAAGAGGTGTAGTTAAACACAATATATAACACTTGTATCTAGATGCTTCACTACACTATGATTGTTTTTTACACTACTTGATGTAAAGTAGCAACTTCGCTTTTTGTTATTCAGTAACATTAAAATTTAAAATTACAGTAAGATAGGTACACATAAGAGTCATATATTGTTAGTCATATATACAATACAAAGTAAGAATCATTAATAGAGGTAGTTAGGTCGGCTGGTATTTTATTTACCTTCCACTAAAGCTGCACTATGGGCTATTCATTACTTAAGGATGCATATATTCAATAATTTTTAAAATAAAACTAGTTTGTTAAACAAACATATACACTCAGCTCAGAGAGAATATAAATATGAATTCGAATTAGGCTTAATAAAGTCAAAGCGGCTTAGTAAAATTTGAATTAGGCCTAATAAAATTCGAATTAGGCTTAATAAAATCAATCAAATTATTTAATACAATTGATGTATTTATAATTGTGTTCTCACGAGAACATTATTATCTCTGTTTTACAACTAAAAACATACTAGCCTTTTTCTAACTATTAATTTCTGTTTCTGTGGAATGTTTAGTATAGTACGAGGCGAAAACAAACTTTTACCTTCTCCGGTAAATTGTAAACAATCTTTCGTTGTAGCCTGACTATTTCCAAACGCACGCCGAAATTAGCGAAAATAATTCATGGAATGGAATAACATCTGAATCTTGTAGGCTTTATCAATTATTTGAGTTAAAATTTAATTACACATTTAAAAATGTGTATGAACACTCGATTCGGTACTAAAGCATGTATGAAGTATTCATTGAAGTATATAGTATAATAAAGTATATTAAGTATTCGTGTATAAATAAAGCATTAATGTTTGATTGTGTTATCAACGAATAGGGAAGATTATATTTTTAACAGCATGCATCTCCAAGAACTATATATTACTGATTACTTTACCTATCTGGTGTGGTTGATCTGTATTCTTTGGCTTCATTACCACTTATGGGCTTTTGCCAATTGGACGACGGATCCAATGGAATTTTATTAGATTCTGAAGGCGCTGGTCTGCTGCTAGGTATCTGAATGCTTGCCGATTTCTGGAAGGCTTGTTTGGCCTGGCTAGGTTTTGGCGTTGACAGCTCATCCGATTTGGCAGGGAAGATAATTTGAGATGTGCTTTGGAGTATCTGTGCATATTTTCCTTCAATGTATGTACCGATGACTTTGGTTTCATAAACGGTAGTGGCGCCATCTTTGACATGCGTTCCACCAAGAACTGTAACAAGGCCTGTGGGATACTGCGGCAAGGCCGGAGTCGCACCAGGTTTCTGTAGATTTTGTTCCGGCTCAGAATCGGGAGTTGTTTCCAAATCTCCAAAACCTGGCTTTAAATGCCTGAAACATTAATTTTTTGTATATTAGAAGAATAACAATTAGACATACATTAGCGAACAAGAACACCATAGATTCTATTTCTTTTGATAAACGTATATTGAAGTCTTTTAGAAATCCTCCATCGTTTATCATCCTCTATCATTCGTGTACGCATGCTCTGAATTAACAGCATATGACCATAAGAGAGATACACTATCAAAACGTTTATGTAAACGGTATTAAGGATACGTTCGATTGAGTGTTATTAAAAGAACTATTTAATTACGAGTAATTACCAGGGAGAATAATAGACGTTGTTAAAAGTAACAATTATATAACACTTTTTAAATTCATTACTTTGATTGCATAGATTTTAACGCAAAATTCAATTGGGAATCAATAAGTAAATCAAAAGTATAATCGTTTAAATGAAAATATAACAGAAACATCTGAAACGACCTCTGAAGCCTCTTTATGTGCAGTGAGTTTAACTCATTAATTATTCATTTGGGAAATCTATCACAGAGAACATTTCATATTTGATGTGACTCCCAATTCTTTTTCATAGTAGGCAAATGCTACTCGAACCTCTGGAACTCCCGCAGTACAACACAGCCATACTGAAAAATATTCCAGATTAAATTACCGTATAAAGTACTGACACTTTGGGTACATCATCCGTAAAATCCATTTATACGGTGAAATCCATTTTTACAGTAAAATATTATACGGCAATTTCTTCAGCAATATTTATTTAAATAGAGTGATTCCGTGATTTTATGGTAATTATTACTGCAAAAATTGAGGTATATCACTTTTTTTGTTCAGTAAAAGGTAACGGCACCCTGAAATGCAGAATATTTTTTACCGTAATTTGATCCAGTTTTTTTTTTTTTACAGTACATGACTAGTTGCTCCCGCTGTTCAGTCTCGTTGCCGTTTCAGTCATCTCCCGACTCAGTCACGTTACTATTTAAGCTCAACTATTTTGATATAGAAACTTTCCATTCCTTTTATTACTTTTGCGTCATAGGGGTTATGAATTGATAGTCTTTAACTCTTCAAATATATTATAATCAATAATTTATTTAGTTTATTCATGTAGATCAGTGTTTCCCAAAGTGTGGTACGCGAACCCCCAGGGGTACGGGAATAGTTTAGAGGGGGTACGCGTTCTTATGCGAAACATCTTGCAACAAACGAAAATTTCAAAACATTTTATTTAAAAAAAAAAGCTAGCCATGAAAATTTAAGATTACATATTTTTCTATTGGCTATTTTTTGCAGAGTTGACAGTTAATAATGAGTGGTGTGGTGTCAGCAGCCAGTTGTGATTTTTAACTTTTGTGCAATTTTTATAGTAAAAAATACATTCATTTTTGTATTAGGTACACAGGGTTACGAAAAATTTGGAAAGGGTACACAAAAGTCATAAGTTTGACACTGATGTAGACGTTTAAATGTCATGTAGACGTTTCTATACGTTTTCACTGATAGAAAATCAGGAATGGTTATTATAGAAAATCGGGAATGGTTATTATAGAAAATCGGAAATGATTATGGAATGGAAATGATTATTAAGTCTCTGAAAAAGAAATAAGGATAATTACGATTACATTGGAGTATCTTTAAAAAAATTTCTTAAATTCTTTTATTTTCCTTCTCAGCAGAAAAGCCGAAAAGGAAGAGAACAAAATGTTAATGGAACCGAAACGGCAACGAGACAGAAGAGGTCTAGTTCTGTACAACATTATCTTTCCCCCTACTTATGTTGTATTCTCTCCATCCCCCTAACAGGCTTTTTTTAATCAATTTATCCATTTACATTCTTTCTTAACGTAATCTCTAATGATTACGTAATTGTCATTTCTTTTATTCTTTATTGTCAAAAACTTACACAAAGGCAATACGTTATTCCAAACTCTTCTTATCTTTCTAATTATCTGCATAAAGAGCTATTTATTTCGTCACATCCGTTAATTCTTTATTCGCTGCAGACACCTGTTCAAATATATTTATTGTCTATGCTTCTGTTATTACGCTGTCTTTATTGACTATGCTTCTGTTTGTAACAATCAACAATATACTGCGAAAATAATTGGTATGCATTATATGGTTAAGTATAAATCTTTAATTTAGCAACAAGAATCATTGCGCTGCATGTTTGCTTGTGCGCAAAAGTGAGAACAAAAGCAGCTAATTCTGAACTCTACTGATGAATGTTATATGCATTAAATATTCTCAGCGTATGTAATATAGTTTTGTATTCAAATAAAACTAACACTATAATAATTTTTTTTAATTTCTTAAATAATAAATATATGGAAAAATAAACTACCGGAGCTGTGATCGTTATATAATTTGGACAATCTTATATTTCAGTAATATACTTAATAACATTATGTTACTGATAATATCATTTTGTTTCTGAAATATGTCGTACAAATTTAAGAAAATACTTTAATACTTGAAAAATTATTTTGAGGTTGGCTATAAAAGTTTAATGTACTTACTTTTATCTTTTTTCTGTTAAAACAATACGCTATAATTTTGATTATGCATCAAAACACTAAATTGCTTCCACACAGAATAAGATAACTTATAGGTTTCTGCCATTTCTTTAGGATATTAAAAGGTAACCGTTCTTTCTAAACCTTTTTTATTTGTTAAAACTTTTTAAACCATTTTTATTTGTTGGACACTTTTTTTTAAGAGGAAAAAACTATTTTTGGTGTAACATTGGCTAAATTAACTTCATGAATGTTTAAAATTGGTCCTTTTGGTTAGACAATTATATTTTTTGAGGTATTTTGTGAAAAACTTTTGCAGTCATTTATGTAAATTCCAGCCACTAGAGGAAACTATGAAATCAATCTAAAATTTTTACTGTAACTTAAATTTAAACTTAAATGTTGTCAGAAATCTGTGTTATGCTCCCCTCTTTTGAAAATTACCCATATGTTAACATAAGTTTGAAAATATATTTATTAGAAAAATGTCATTTTGATTTTCAAATCAATAAGTTTGTGAAATTCTTTTACGAGATTTCCTTCAGCAATTAAGTATTGAGACAAAATAAAAATTTGAAGTTTCAAGAAAATGTATAGCAAATAGTATATAGTATTATTAAATAGTATATAGTAATGTATAGTATATAGTATTATTCAAGTAGATAGTAATTTTTTGAGAAAATATTTTTTTTTGTGGGGGGGGGGGAGAGGCATGGTTAATTAAATTTGATAGACGTGTTGACAGAAGATAAAACCTTAGATGGTGACAGAATTTTTTTCGAATCATTGAACTTTTTTAATCTGACCAAAACAAATTATTTTTTCCGTTTTTTTATGTTTATATCGGAAGTTGGAAAAACTTGTTTTTGTCGTCCACGCTATAAGAAATGCAGGATCAAGCTAGGGTATAAAGTATCAGTACTTCGGGTGCATCATCCGTAAAATCCTTTTTTACTGTAAAATATTGTACCGTAATTTTATCAGCATTATTTATTTAATTAGAGAGATTCAGTGATTTTACAGTAATTATTACTATATAAACTACGATATATAAGACTTTTTGCTCCGCAACGCAAAAGGTTTTTACGTTAAAAAATACCGGCACCCTGAATTCCGGTATTTTTTATCGTAATTTAATCCGGAATTTTTTACTGTGTAACGCAAAGCTTACATTCAATTTTGTACACTCCAACAAACCTGAAAGTGGTCGAAAGTGACAGTAATACGGTGCTACATGTTGTTTTAGCAATAATATGGAAATACGTGTAGCATAGCAGTCAAGAAATGAAACTTGCATTGCCACTCCTTAGAGTTCCAGCAAAGATTTCCGTTCTCTAGCTAATTGAAAGTCTAAATTCTGATTGCAAAATTCACCCAAAAATGCAAAATTTGCAAGTTAATAAAAACTTAGTTTTGAAAATAATAATGAAATGAATTTCGAATAGTTAATGTTCTGTTTTCTCATAAATTCTGTTATCTGCTTTCTATCAAATTCAAACAATTTGAATAAATAGTTATAAAATATTTGGCTTACACGTAAGCAGAAATTTTCGGAAAATTTATCAACTCTAGCTAGCACATAATACAACATTATGACATTATGTCGTCAGACGTAGAAGACACAACAAACCGTTTTTTTTTTTAAACTATTTTGAAACTTTAGAAAATAAAAATCTAACAATAATTAAGGCGACAAAAACTATTTGAGTTCGAGGCACTCTTTTTATTTCGAGTATAAATGTTTCTACTTAGTTATATATAATTTTAAATCAAAAATCACAAGATTTAAAATAAAAGAAACTCAACTTCATAGTTGAAACGGGAAAAAAGTCGACATGTTTTGATTACAAAAAACACGAAACTCCTCGGCTGGTATACCAGATTATAATGAGTAACTAATGCAAGTATAGAGGATAGCAATTTGTTTACTATTAACATTTAAACTCGATATTGAAGCATTTTTCAGAAATTATGAGTGTATATTTTAATACGAACAATAAAATCAAATACTAATTTGGAAAATTAACATTATAATTCAATTGGAAAATTATATAATAATCCAATTTGAATAAATATGAAGCTTTATTAAGCCAGCAATTTAACTCTTGTTCCATTCCCGAAAGCAGACAACCTAACGACAAACGTTTTAGTTTCATTTTCATTTGGTTGACAGAAAAAGGTTGACTAATTAATCCTTTTTTAAGCTTAGTAGAAGAATTATTATACCAAGTTTATTTCTTTGAAGATTGAATAATTTTTTTGTCTGCCCTTAGGCAGACAAAAAAAAATTATTTAAAAAAATCTCTTTTTTTAGCTATTATTGTGAATCTTGTTTTAGCCTTTTTGTCATTCTAGTTTCCCCCAAGCTCTAAAATGAAACATTTTGTTTGTGTTGAAAACTTAATGATCAGACCAACCTTCACTTTTAAAATGTCGAAGAAAGTATGACAAAGCCTGCTCAAATAAACTACTCAGTGACGGTCATAAAATCTAAAATAAACCTTGAGAAAATGAATTTATCCTCGGTTCTTAAGAACGCTTTTTATTCTCGATTTGAGAAGGATGATTCATCCTCGATTTCAAAAGGTTTTTCCAGCCTTATTGGTAAAGGCAGATTCAATTTCGATATAAAAGAGTTGTTTATGGAAGCATAATGCGAATCTCATAGCGCGTAAATTAGTACAGTTAAATCAATGGACTTTAGTTCTGAAAGCTAGGTCAGTTGAAGTTGAGTGTAAGTTTGGTTCTGATGCATGTTATATATGTCACAGTTGAATCACCTTCCGTTAGTGTGCCGTATCAGAAGACAACCACGTCTTCTGAGTCAAATTTTCCGTAATGCATTTTGATTATGCTATGTAAGTCGTAAGCTCACAAGCCCACCTGAAAGCATGTTGAAGTAATCAATCAAAAGTAACGCATCATACCTTTGCCTGAAACTTTGCCTGTCATCCTCCGGTGTATGCGCTTCATTTTCGAGCTCCGTCCGTTTTTCGACTTCCCTGTCGTTTCCTGTATATGTTAGATGTTGAATATCATCGTTTCTCGGACTTATCGTTGATCCTGGACTTGAACTTGATGTCGCCGGAACACTTGAAGCTGGTGTCGGTTCCTGAGGTCCTTCGGAAGCTGGCGTGAAAACTATGACTGTGCCATCCACTGTTGTCCTGAAATTCAGAAACCCTCTGACTGTAACTGTGGGCAGCGTGGCATCTGAATCTATATCTTCAGCTGCTGTGAGGGCTTCTGCCCTAGGTGCGGTGGGTATGTACACTGGAGCTTGCGCATCTGCCCTTAGGGGTACTGTAAGGAAAAGAAGAGAAAATGTAACGATTATTTTATACGATAACCTAAAAATAAGTGACTTAGATAGTAAATTTTGATAGTCATCGCGAAATTTGAATAAAATAATATCGTCTCTGTACCAGAGTTGGGCGTTGATTACAAAAATTGATTACAATTAAAGGTCTAAAGGTTATATAATGATCAGTCACATCTTTATGTTGTTCAGATGAACGTTTTTTAAAGCGTTATTCATAGAGAACACTATGTAGACGAGGACAATTCTTGTGTGTTGTGCTGCTATCTAGAGGGAAGTCCGAAAACTTGTTAAGTACCTTTCTTCAAACCATATACTAGAGAAAATTACAATGTAAAAAATGACAATCTTAGAAAAAGTGTGACTGATCACTATATTGTCCGAAGTCCTCTTATTGATACAGATAATGAAAACATAGTAATCATGTTGCTTGTATTTGAGACTACAAGCAGTTTTACTTCAAAACTACCATCGTAATCGTTATGGCAAGTATCTTCACAACAATTACAAGTTGGTTGTAATCGTAGGGAAGTCAGGTTGATTTGAGTAAAAGTCAAGTTGGTTTGAGTAAATGCAAAATTATCGTAGGTAAGTTTTTAAATTCGGAAACAGCTCGAAAGTCGTGTTTATGAAATTGTACAAGGCTCAAAATGCGTTTTTACGAAAATGAACAAAGCGTAAACACGCATTTCGAGTTGTGTCCCAGATTTAAAAACGCACTAACGTTATGCTATCGTTTTTTTTAATAAATAGTGTAATTAGTATTTATTTATAGTCATGAAATAATTAATTTTTCTATTTTTATTTTACATTTATTATAAGAAGATATAACTATTATATACACTTTTTTTTTAATTTTTCACTTATGTTAATTTATATCTCTGTACATTTAAGCCCATCGGAATAAATGGAATTTTTAAAGCAGCAGGCTAAAGAGTTTTTTTTGTGAAACAAATTTCAATTTAAGAGCATTACCCAAATTAATTCATATATCCAATCATGAAAAGTAAATGCTAATATCATTTCTGTGAATGTCTCAATTTAACATCCTTATATGTAATTCTTTAATGTGATTTTATGCATTCAGCTAATTGTTTTGATGGCCCTTTTGTTTGTACAATCATAAAAAAACCTTATTCATAGGTAGCATTTTCCTTGCGACACTAAAGTAGATTTTAATATAATTAAAATAACACCTTTTTTTTTCATTTTCCCCAAAATCTATTGATACATTTAATGACGATCGAAGGTCGTTATTCTGTTTCACGAAGACATTTTACAGTCAATGAAAAAGAGAAATTTATTCGATTCTATAGATGATTTAATACCTTTTCCTCTTTTGTTTCAAGTTTTAATGAACAGCAAGGACATATCAGTTTTTTTTTAAAATACATAACTTGACTGTCTTCTCAGCTAAGGGTGCGGTTTCAACTATATTTCCTTTTAATTAGAATGTTAAAAGCATTGCCAATACGTGATGTCAAACAATAATGATCGAAAATAAAAATTTTAAATCGAAATCGTAAAAAAAAAGTTGCAATAATGTAATAAATTAAAAGCGTTTGCTTGATGAAGTCAACGAGCAAGTTGGGTTTAATATCAAACGTTGCTTGCCTTCAGAAGTTCGTGTAGGTTTAATTCGCTGGTATGATCGGGAATATCCAAGGTTGGCGTAGGGTACGGTATGATTAAGGCTTATTACATATTATTATGCAGTTAATTTAGACGAGGAAAAAATGTATAAATAAATTTTTTTATAAATATTTATTAGTTATAACTAATATACATTTTGATTGTTAAAGCAGTAAATAATTCGTAACATTATAAATAAATGAAAAAGTAAAATTCATTTTCAGTTTGAAAAAAATTTTTGATATTTAAATTATTAATCACTTTTTGAAAACAAATTTTGTAACTGTCGTAACTTCATTAACTTCTTAAAAGTCATTTAAAAGACTCTAAGTGTTCTCGTATTTCGAAAAGAATAAAACTAAAATAATAAAATTAAATCACTAAAAATAATAAAACTAAATAGCACTTAACAAACTTCATTTAAATCTACATAACTAGTTATATATTTATTATTGCTTTCACTACTGATTTTCATACATGCATACGTGAGTAATATCTGTTCTTATTTTTAAAAATTTAATTATGCTTCTTTATTATATTTTTACTAAGAGTAAATTATTTTAAATTGTGGATAAATTATTTATAATAATTAAGTTGTTCTTATCAATCATATCGCAAACTATTGTAATATATAGTTATTTTTATAGAGTTTTATTTTATAAAAATATTAATAATTTTAGTATTTTATTAAATTTTTGCTCAAACTTTAAACATTTTTGTTTGACCATAATATATTGTAATTTATTTGATTATGAAATTTAAATCTATTAATTTTTCTACAAAAATCTATTAATTTTTCATACATGAATATAGTATGTACTATTTATTTTAAATGCACATTTAAATATTGTATTCATTTTGTTATAGGTATGTGAGATGCATTTCAAGGAAAATGACATTAGAAAAGAGATATTAAATGACATTAGAATTATTTTTAAATGCTACTGAAAGTTAAACATATATCAGTAAAATTTATGTTTACATTTTATTTATCATTTTTTGAATTTGCTATTTAATAAAATATTTATTATCTAAGGTTGCTTACTTTATTTTAGTTTATCAGTGTGACGGGTAAAAATTATACTTTTTTAAATGTTAC